CTGGCCATGGTACAGGCCCTGTTGGCCCCTAGAGGCCCCATCCACCCAGGTCCCAGCAGAGCTGCACACCTGCCAGTGGAATCCAAGGCACTGGGTGCGGGAGGCCCTGGCTGACCCCTTCTCTCTGCACTCCCTGCTCCAGCCCACCTGCTCTGCCACCCATACACCCCCTCAGTACCACCTGCCCTGCCACACACTTGTTTGAAACAAAATAGCTTTATTCCCCTCACAACACCCACCCCCATTCCTCCCCACCTCTCCCTCAACCAACAAACTTCCCTCCCCACCTCCTTCCCCAACACACAGAGTCGCTCCACCACCCTCCCCACCCACAAACAATTAAAAACCCACTTCCCAATGTGCAAACTATTTACAATAGTCTCAGTCTCTATCTGAATCCCAGATTGGGAGGCTGTGGGGTAGAGGCATCTAGGGGGCAGAGCCCAGGGACAGATGCCCAGCCTCCAACCTTGGCTCATTCTCCCGTGGGTCTAAGGGCCATGGTGACCATGGTGGGTGGCAGGCTTGTCTGTGGGTGATGCCAGACAGCACTCCTCAAGAGCAGGCAGTTCCCCCTCTGCCAAAGTTCAGGGCCAACATCCCCTTCTGGTGTCCTTTCTGACACTTCCAGGTGTTTGGGCACATGGGCTCAGGGCAAGCAGTGGGGTAGCAGAGTGGGGGCAGGGTTGGGGCTGGGCCAGCGGCTCCAGTGGGTGGGAGGCACTGAAGGACCTCTTGCCAGGGCCAGGCAGGGGCTTGCTGTGGAGTGGCAAGCAGGACCCAGGGGCTCTGCAGGGCCATGGGCAGGGGCCGGGCAATGGGGGGCATGGATGCGGCCACCAGGCTCAGGAGGGTGTCCAGGGTCTGGTGATTGGCATCCGTGGCCTCCACTGCCCAGGTCTGGAGGGCCACCACCTGCCAGAATAGCTCAATGTGCCCTTGCTCCAGCACCTCCATCTGCACCAAGTGCCTGCTGTGCCCAGTCCTACACCTCTTCCTGGGCAGTCTCCCAGGTGATGTCCTCCATTCACCAGGCTTGTGCCCATGCCTCCTACTTCTCTGCCACTGCCACCACCTGCTGGAGCATGATGGTTCTATCCAGGATGTGCCGCTGGCACAGTTATGGCATGTGAAGGGCTCCAGCACTGGGTGGCAGTGAC